GTCACCGCGGGGCCGTGTCCCGCAGGGCTCCGCGGGCTGCAGCTCTCCTTCCTCGAGCTGGACTCCAACAGGGCCGGCTGGCTGCTCGTGTGGAGGCGGCGCGGGGCGCGCGGCGGCCCCACGGTGAGTGCAGGGCCCAGCAGCACCCAAGGGCGCCGGGGGTGCCGCTCACCGCCTGCTCCCGCAGTGGCAGGTGCAGTTCGACTGCTTCCCCGCCGAGAGCGGCCACCGGGTCCTCGTGTCCCTCCGCACCATCCCTGACCGCGGCTTGATCCTCAACCGGAGCCACTTGGTGGCCGCGGAGCTGCCGGGTGAGCAGGGACCCCCGTCCCTCCCGTGCCCCCCTGCCCCGCTGGTGTGGGGCTGAGCCCCCTGTGCCCCACAGGGCCCGTGTTCAGCCACGCGTGGGTGCCCGAGGCGCGCGCCATCGAGGTGGCCGTGCCCGCCGGCCCTGCGCTGCTCGTGCGGCTGTGCCACCAGCTGGCCCTGGAGTGCGAGGAGCTGCCCCGGCCCTTCCACCAGCAGGTGCCGGCCCCGGCCCCCGCTCCTGCCCATGGGGCCCGGCCGGGCTCGCCCGGGGGGTCCCCGCGCTGCCGGGGGGCTCAGGGCGCCTCTGCCCCCGCAGGTGCGGGTGCCGGGGGGCGGCTGCGCCCTGCTGCGCTACGAGTTCCTGGTGCCCTGCCTGTGCATCGAGGTGCGGCGCCGCGCGGGGGGCTCTGCACCCCCTGCCCGGGGACGGGGCTGCCGGCGGGGGCCACGGGCGGCTCTGACCGCTCTGCCCCCCCAGGCCTCCTACGAGCACGGTGACAGCCTGCGCAGCAAGACGTGCCCCTTCCGCGAGCACCCGGCGGCCTGTGAGTGGGAACGGTGACGCCGGGGGGGTGCGCGGGGGGCCCCGTGTCCCCGCTGCGCCGCTGAGCCCGTGCCCGCAGCCGGCGCCGAGCTGTGGTCCTCCGTGCGCTTCCACGACTACAGCACCAGCAGCAAGGCCCAGATGGCCATGGTGCTGAGCGCGCGCTGCCCGCTGCGCCCGCGCGCCACGCTCTGCTGGAGGGAGGCGCCCGCGGCGCCCTGCCACGACGTCCCCAACGGCACGGCCAGCGAGGAGGAGCAGGTGAGCGCCTCGGATGGCCCCGCGCGGCCCGGGTCCCTGCGGCGGCACCGCGGTGTGTCCCCTGCGCACGTGACGCGGCGACGGCCCCGCGGGGCTGCGGGCGCTGAGCCTGTGTCCCCACCAGGCCTACACGCTGGACAAGGTGGACGTGCACCCCCAGCTCTGCTTCAGGGTGAGTCCTCGATGGGGAGAGGGTCCCCGTGCCCTCGCCCCGGAGAGGGGCATTAGGGCCGTGGGGCTGGGGGTGACCAGCTGCAGTGACCCGTCCCCTCCCGCCAGTTCTCCTACGGGAACAGCAGCCACGTGGAGTGTCCCCACCGGCCAGGTGAGCCCCTGTGCCCCCATCGCGGCCGCGTCCCCCCATCCTGCTGCAGCAGGAGCAGCACACGTGCCCTGCACGTGCCCGTCCTGGCCGCAGAGCGCGCCTGGAACGTGTCGGTGAGCGTGCGGGGGCCGCAGCTGCGCCTGCGCATCGTGGCCAGCGTGGCGGCGGCCTTCAGCGCCGCGCTGTGCCGGCCGCGCGGCCCGCGCTGCGAGCAGCAGTCGCCCGTCTACACCGTGACGCGGGTGAGCGCGGCGGGGCCGGGGGCGCGCGGCGGTGCTGGCGGCCGCGCGTGGCCCACACGTCGCGGTGCGTTGGCAGACGGAGGGCGCTGCGCCCGGGGAGCTGGCGCTGCTGCTGCCGGTGCAGGTGCTGGGCAGCTGCGTGCTGGTAAGTGCCCCCGAGCCCCAGTGCTGCCCCTGTGCTGGCCGGGCACCCCTGGGTGCCCCAAGCCCCAATGCTTCGTCCCCAGGTGTGGCGCTCGGATGTGCGCTTTGCTCGGAAGCAGCTGCTCTGCCCCGACGGTGAGTGCGAGCCCGGGCACCGGCAATGCCAGGGGAGCGGGTGTCCCCGTGTGACCGGCGATGCCGGGGGACCCGCGTGCCCCTGTCACCACCGCTCTCGCAGTCTCCCGCAGGCACTTCGGGCTGCTGGGGCTGGCGCTCGCCCTGGCGCTGCTGCTTGCCGTGCTGCTGCTGGGCTGCTGCGGCGCGTGGCGCCCGGCTGCCGGTGAGCGCCGCGGGCTGGGGATGCGCGCGGGGACGCCGGGCACGGCCGCGGTGCCGGCCCGCCGCCCCGGGGCAGCGTGTCACGAGCGTCCCGTGCCCCCCGCAGGCGCCGCGGGGCGCCCGGTGCTGCTGGTCTATTCTCCCGACTCGGAGCAGCACGTGGGGCTGGTGCTGGCGCTGGCGGAGCTGCTGCGCGCGGCGCTGCGCTGCGACGTGCGCCTCGACGCGTGGGAGGCGGGCGGCGTGGGGCGCCTGGGCGCGCTGCCCTGGCTCTAC